CTCAACCCCCAGCCTACTCCCGTGTATACGAAAATGATATTATGACCACGTTGCAACATAATCTAGTTTTTTTGTCTTTTATACTTCTCAGGCTGTTTCTATGCCAAATGTGTCAAGTCCAATCGCATCGGCCACTGAATCGTCTATTCAACCCAAGCTTCTAAGCAAGCAAGGTACCGTACACAGTAGCCTAACCCGTGTCTCATTTTAAGCATTTCATGGCCACTTTTTGGCGAAAAATATATAATGTCTGGAAATTTTTGTATGATCGGAAATGCAAAAAAAGAAGGAGGGAAGAAGGAGGAGAAGGATGGGAAAGAGAATGTTTATCCAGTACCCGACCGAGTTACATTTTCTTGCAATTCACATTGGCGGATCTGGGGGAGGGGGTCATGGGTCCTGACCCCTCCCTTGGGCAACAAAAAAGGGGGAAAAGAAAAGAAATCTAGACCTACCTTTTCAGGACCCGTGAGCTGATTTTTCAATTTTTTTTTTTTTTGTTGCTATTAGAAAATTAGAATTTTGAAGAACATAAAATTCATTAAAACACACTTCAAATGTCGGGAAAGCTCAATTCCCGCCATCTAGGAATCAAAATTTTCCCGGGGGAGAACCCCCGGACCACCTTTTCTTTTTGGGATTTATCGATTCATGGAGAAAAAAGGATACGCATGCGCAACTACTCGAATTTTGAAGAAATTTAAAAGACATTTCAGAAGTCAGGAAAGCTCATCTCCCGCCATCTAGAAATCAAAATTTTTCCGGGGAAACCCAGACCCTCTTTATCTTTGGAGTTCATTGATTAATTGAATCATTTCCAAGGGGGGGGGGGGTGTGGACCTTGAATTTTGAAGAATTTAAAAGTCATTAAAAGACACCACCGAAGTCGGGAAAGCTCATTTCCCGCCACCTAGGAATCAAAATTTTCCCGGGAAAGAACCACAGGACCTCCACCCTCCCCCCCTTTCTTTTTGGGATTTATCGATTCATGGAAAAACTACGTATGCAACTTACTCAATCTTTTATGTATGTATACACACATAAGGCCTATTTACTGTATTAACAATGGGAAAAATTATCTGACCGTTTTCAAGAGTGGAAAACCTTGAATTTTAAAGAACTTAATTACTTTTAAGTTCTTCAAAACTGAAGGTGTTCCCCTCTTGAAAATTATTACAATGAATCAATGAACCCAGAGAAAGGGAGGTTCGATTTCTTCCCGGGAAAATGTTGATTTCTAAATGGTGGACAATGATATTTCCCGACTTCTGAAATATTTTTTAATGACTTTAATTTAAAAGACACCTCAGACGTCGGGAAAGCTCATTCCCCGCCTTCTAGGAATCAAAATTTTCCTGGGGAAGAACCCCCGGACCCCCCTTTCTTTTTGGGATTCATCGATTCACGGAAAATTCGTATGCAACTACTCATTTTTTTTAAATTGTTATGTATGTATACACACATAGGCCCTATTTACTGTATTAACAATAGGCAAAAATTACCTGACCGTTTTCAAGATGGGAAAACCTTGAATTTTGAAGAACATAAAAGTAATTAAAGACATGTCAGAAGTCGGGAAAGCTCATTTCCCGCCATCTAGAAATTTTCCCGGGGGAGGAATGTTGACCCCACCACCTAGATTTGATTCCAGATCTGCATGATTCATATTCCCATTCATCTTATAAGCAGTGGTGTAACAGGCGGGGGCAGGTAGGCAGACTGTCCCCCATGACGGTTTTTACCGGGCTGACCAAGCCGTCGTACCGGGCTGTAAGAAGAGAAAAGAAAGAGGGGAGAGGGAGGGAAAGAGAAAGAAGGGGAAAGAAAAAGAAAGGAAAAAGGAA